CTCCGCAAGAGTTTCGAAATACAGCCAGTCATTCCTAAAAGTTGGCAAACAGAAAGAAATAGCTCTGTGGAGAGCACTTTAGGCAATATTTGCTGTGACACTGTATTTATTCCTTCTTTAGCGGCGATGGCACACATAAAGAGATGCCAATTGGTTATCATCATCATCAGCCTGACTACGTCCACTGCAGGACAAAGGCCTTTCCCATGTTCTGCCAGTTAACCCGGTCCTGTGCTTGCTGCTGCCAATTTATACCCGCAAACTTCTTAATCTCATCTGCCCACCTAACCTTCTGTCTCCCCCTAACCCGCTTCCCTTCTCTGGGAATCCAGTTAGTTGCCCTTAATGACCAGCGGTTATCCTGTCTACGCGCTACATGCCCGGCCCATGTCCATTTCCTCTTCTTTATTTCAACTATGATATCCTTAACCCCCGTTTGTCCCCTAATTCACTCTGCTCTCTTCTTGTCTTTTAAGGTTACACCTACCATTTTTCTTTCCATTGCTCGCTGCATCGTCCTCGATTTAAGCTGAACCCTCTTTGTAAGTCTCCAGGTTTCTGCTCCGTAGCTAAGTACCGGCAAGATACAGCTGTTATATACCTTCCTCTTGAGGGATAGTGGCAATCTACCTGTCATAATTTGAGAGTGCTTGCCGAATGTGCTCCAGCCCATTCTTATTCTTCTAGTTACTTCAATCTCGTGGTTAGGCTCTGCGGTTATTACCTGCCCTAAGTAGACAGTCTTTTACAACTTCAAGTGCACTATTACCTATCTCGAAGCGCTGCTCTTTTCCTAGGTTGTTGTACATTACTTTTGTTTTCTGCAGATTATATTAAGACCCACGTTTCTGCTCTCCTTGTCTAACTCCGTAATCATGAGTTGCAATTCGTCCCCTGAGTTACTCAGCAATGCAATGTCATCGGCGAAGCGCAAGTTACTAAGGTATTCTCCATTACCTCTTATCCCTAACTGTTCCCATTCTAGGCTTCTGAAAACCTCCTGTAAGCACGCGGTAAATAACGTTGGGGAGATTGTGTCCCCCTGCCTTACACCCTTCTTGATTGGTATTCTGTTGCTTTCTTTATGAAGCACTATGGTAGCAGTTGATCCCCTGTAGATTTCTTCCAGAATGTTTATATATACTTCATCTACGCCCTGATTCCGCAGTGTCTGCATGACGGCTGATATTTCTTCTGAATCAAACGCCTTCTCGTAATCTATGAAGGCTATGTATAGTGGTTGGTTATACTCTGAGCATTTCTCTATTACCTGATTGATAGTATGAATGTGGTCAATTGTTGAGTAGCCTGTTCGAAATCCTGCTTGTTCCTTTGGTTGATTGAATTCTAATGTTTTCTTTACTCTGTTAGCAATTACCTTTGTGAATAGCTTGTATACTACAGATAGCAAGCTAATCGGCCTGTAATTCTTCAAGTCCTTGTCATCTCCTTTCTTATGTATTAAGATGATGTTAGCGTTCTTCCAAGACTCTGGTACCCTTCCCGTCGGGAGACACCTTGTAAATAGGGTGGCTAGTTTTTCTAACACAATCTGTCCTCCATCTTTCAGCAGGTCCGATGTTACCTGATCCTCACCAGCAGCTTTGCCTCTTTGCATGCTCTCCAAAACTTTTCTGACTTCTTATAGTATTAAGGTCGTGGTTGTCTCGGCTACTGTAGAGATCTCTGTAAAACTCCTCCGCTATTTTAACTGTCCTATCCATATTGGTAGTATTTTGCCTTCTTTGTCCCTTAGTGCATACATCCGACTTTTGCCTATCCCAAGTTTCCTCTTCACTGCTTTGACGCTTCCTCCGTTTTTCAGAGCGTGTTCAATTCTCTCCATGTTATACCTTCTTACATCGCATACTTTATGTCTATTGATCAACTTCGAAAGCTCTGCCAGTTCTATTTTGTCTGTTGTACTTGACACTTTCATGATTTGACGCTTCTTAATTAGGTTCTTCGTTTCCTGGGAAAGCTTGCCAGTGTCCTGTCTAACTACCCTGCCTCCAACTTCCACTGCACACTCCGTAATGATACTCGTCAGATTATCATTCATTGTATCTACGCTAAGGTTGGTTTCCTCACTAAGAGCCGAGTACCTGTTCTGCAGCGACACTCTGAATTCCTGTACTTTCCCTCTCAGTGCTAGCACATTGATTGGGTTCTTGCGTATCAGTTTTTGTCGTTTCTTCTTCAAGTCTAGGCGAATTCGAGACCGTACCATTCTATGGTCACTGCATCGTACCTTGCCAACCACTTCCACATCCGGCACAATTCCTGGGTGTGTGGTCATTATAAAGTCTATTTCGTTCTTATTTTCGCCATTAGGGCTCCTCCATGTCCACTTGCGGTTTTCTCGTTTTCGGTAGAAGGTATTCAAAATCCGCAAATTATTGCGTTCTGCGAATTCTACTAGTAGCTCTCCTCTGGCGTTTCTAATACCCATGCCATAATCTCCTACTGCCTGGTCTCCAGCCTGCTTCTTTCCTACCTTTGCATTAAAGTCGCCCATCACTATAGTATACTGTGTTTTTACCTTACTCATTGCCGATTCCACGTCATTTCAACTGAAGCGTCATCATGGCTGGATGTAGGCGCGTAAGCCTGTACTACCTTCATCTTGTATCTTTTATTCAGTTTAATTACAATACCTACCACCCTTTCATTAATGCTATAGTATTCCTCTATGTTGCCAGCTATGTTTCTGCGAATTAGGAACCCCACTCCCAGTTCTCTTCTGTCTGCCAAGCCCCGATAGCAAAGGACGTGCCCATTCTGTAGCACAGTATAGGCCTCATCTGTCCTCCTAACCTCACTGAGCCCTATTATATCCCATTTAACACCCTCTAGCTCCTCGAACACCCTCTTTAACACCCTCTAGCTCCTCGGGTGCGGCGATGGCGTAGTAGTTAGAGCATCCGCCTCACATGCAAGAGGTCCGTGGTTCAAATCCCGGTGCCACGCAGTTCCCAACCGGATTAAAAAAAAAAAAATCCGCGTGTTGATGGAACTGCATTTAAAGGCCTGGGGTGCGGCCTCACCGGTAACCACCGCCGGGAACGCACTCCCTCACCAGAGAAGGATTGGCCACCCTGGTGCAGTATCTGGCCACTACCTCCCACATGCATACGTCAAATAACTCACGGCCCTCAGTCCCCAGCAGCTGCGAAGCAACTGACCACGGCGGCGGTCAGATCTGCAACGCAGCAGAGGGTGCTAAGAATCTCTGGATCCGGACAGGCCGCCATTGGAACCTGAACTTGGCAACATTCAACGCTAGAACCTTATCTAGTGAGGGAAGTCTAGCTGTGTCAATTGGTACTTGGTGGTTTATGGATACTATGTTTAGCACGCAGTTAGCCGCGTTCTCGGTGCTGTACGCTGTAAGAAGCTTCGAATGTGCGTGTGTGCATGTGTGTGCGTGCGTGCACGCATTCTGAGGGTTCCCCATCTAGGGAGATGGGCGAAGGTTCGTTGCAGTGCCCCCCCCCTCTCACTTCCTCGTGTGCACACATATGTGAGTGAGTGCACGCACGCTGCTAGAACTTCATGCTGCAGGTAGCTTAATTGTTGTGCAATATCCTTCACTGTTTTATGCCTCCGGTTATGTGTATGACCCTGTTTTTGTTTATATTTTGTGCTTATTTTACGGGCTTGCTGCTTCTGTATAAGTGATTATGTAAACTGAGGGAACATTAAACTATATTAAGGCTAAATTTTTTTCCTTTATGTATATTATGAATTGCCCGTGCCTGCTCCAAACACGGAGGTAGCTGCTCCAAAAGCAGATTTTGCCTGCTCCAGTGGCTGCTCCAAAATGCTGGTAGACATTCTCACCACTGTCAAGGCGGTCTGAGAAGCTCTCAATAAATTTCCATGGTGGTGCTTTTTTTTGTTAGACTCCTCTCTCCCCTTCGCATTCATTTCGTTAAAAACGAGAGTCCTTGAACATTAAATTTTTTGAACATTTGGAAATTTAATTGGTTGTAAGCACCACGCATCGCTAGCTTAATTTCTCAGACATGCAAGGCTGCATGCTTAACACATGCAACTGTGGCCCTTGACAAAGTTCACCTTTGTTATAGTGCATTACCGCTTATAGTGCGGATATTTGTTGTTCCTAGGACTTGAGTTATAAGCAGTATCTCATATCTGCGGGAAATTCGCACTGTTATGAAGCCCTACTTCAAGGTTAAATGAACATGTTACCTTTATTGGTTTATCTTTCTTGAGTTTAAGGGCTTGTTATACCAGCTTATATGCTCTTAGCGAATTTTAAAATCCAACACTTTTTTCAGGTTGTTGTGGATGCAAAACCCCAGATATTATATTTTACAGGCTATGTCTTCGATCCTATCACAAGTCAAATCCTGCTACTATTCAAAGTTGTTTCTACTTCCTTTGAAAAAAACAAAACAAAGAGGCATTCGCTCAGATCTTGTTTCAATTTTTATTAAACTATTGTCGGTTGTTGGGTCATGACAATATGCCCATTTCGTTTTATAATAGGTATTTTGCACTATTTGGATTTGATTCAAAATTATTTGACCAATATTACTGTAGGTTCGAAATTGCTTCAAACCTCAAATTTACTATTCACACAAGCCTGAGAATAAGTAGACAGTTTATCGATATGAGAAGGTCTGTTTGGTGCGTTGGAAGGAGGATGCATATATCTTTATTTATTTTGAAATGAAAAAAAAAACTTCACTGAGCATGTTTGGCTGTTCTTGAAATGACATTGGAAACACCTACTGAGTGCTATGCTGTAAATATGCTATGTGGCTTGTATGTTTACAGGAGCCATAACGATGAATCTGCAGCATTTTCTATATTCAAAAAGTGTTGCAGAGTGCCCTTAAATAGTAACAGTATTAAGGCATTCATAGAATATAATGTGCTACATTTTTTGTAGAGAGAATTTGGTGTTTCTGATGTTTGATTTACAACAAAGTTTTGTGAATGTCAATGATTTCATTTTTGCTTGTTTACAGAGCCTATCGTAAAGCGAACCATCAGAGGGTACCTGAACTTGAACAATCTGGAGCAACTGAACAGGTATTTCAAGAAATATAACATTATCATGAGTGTCTTTTCCCATAGTGAAATGCCATTGTGATTTCTATGTGCTTTCGTTTTGAACTTCCCTTAGATTTGGAGGCCCTGTTCTTATGTACAGACGAACACGGGACGAAATCATTTCAACACAGTGAGTATATTGCTTGTTCTAACAGGTAGGAGGTTTGTTAGAAACTGAAATTAATACGCTCTGTCTGCAGGGAGTCTGCACAAATCGTGAGCAACCGTGGAAATGACCTGCTAATTGGTTTTCTGAAACACCGGTAAATATTTGTTATCTACCACCAAACTTTGGTGTATAAATAACATTGTAGAATACCCCTTCTTTTTTTTTTTTTGGAAGTTTCATACATGGAAACAGAGTGCTAATTGATGCCCTTCATTCTTTTCAGATTCCCAAGGCTTGTGACAGAAGAGACTCTTTGGGCACTTCGAGACTGGCTTTCAGGAGACAGGGGTCACCAAAGTAAGACCCTTTGCGCTTCACAGACACTCCTAATTTTCAAATCATGTAAAGGAGTATTGCTGACCAATGTGGATGTGTGAGAGCTCCTCTCGTTTGTGCCACAGACGGCACTTGGCGTGAATGAAAGATCAAAAACATCTTTATGATTTTCACTCTGCTTGTAAAGCAATGAATACAGTGGGAAAACCTACTGGGATGCAACAAACAACTATAACAAAGTGCAAACTACGAACTGGTTTATTGTGAGTGAAGTATTGTCCATGTTAATCGTATAGGCAAGGCAAAACAGGGGAAGCACGGTGTGATCAGCCACTGCCAGATGCATGGCTGTTCCTTTGTCACGACATTGCTAGCTTACCTCTGTGCCTGTGATCAATACGAAGAATGGGCCTACGCATATAGATACCATATATACTCGCATAATGATCGCACTTTTTGTTTTTTTGTTTTTGTTTTCAAAAAAGTTGACTCCAACTTCTGGATGTGATCATTACGTGGTGTAAATTTTCCGTGAAAAAATATTGTGAGCACCGGAAATGCAAAAAAGTCGCTTATCAGAATTCTTACGGTAGCTATCATGAACATAACCAAAAATAAAAGTAAATTAAGGCTTACCTTTCTGATAAAATGCAAGCATTACGCAGGAGATACATGCATGGCACACTGCTTCTTTATTTTTTTACCTCTCTGACCCCCTAACGTTCATTCAGACTTCGAAGCATCACTGGTGTCAGTGTCGTTTTTTTTTTTTTTTTTTACCTATAGTAAAGTTTCGTTGACTATACTTCGTACAACTTTCTGTGGTTTTGTTGCCTTCCCTTCATTGTCAAAGTGGGCGTGTGCCACCGAAGAATATACCGTATTTAATCGCATAATGAATGCCCTAGCATTATAAATGCACCCATAATTTCAGTCATCAAAATTGCGGTTTATTTTCCCCCACGTAATAAATGCACCCCCTAAATTCATCCGCTGCGGTCCCGCTAAATGACACCTGGCGCCTTCTTACCTGTTGGGTCTCTTTAGTCTTTTTATTATGCTGACCCACCTCTGCTCGCTTCTTCCCCCCTCACCCTTCGCCCATCGCTGCATGCTATGTTGTTTTTCTGTATATCTGTGCGCTGCACGTCCCTCGTCTTCTTTATCTGTATGGTGCAAGTGTATAGATATTGCAGCTCATAAGCTCATGACGAGCGAAGGTCTCGAAACTTCTCACGCCAACCGACGGTCTCTTCCTGCTAAAACAAGACTTTAAGGCCCAATCATGTGCACGCGATTTCTGAGGGAGAATGACAGGATTTCCTGTTGTGAAAAGTCGCTTGTCGCCCAGAAAAGATAGTGATTGTGCATACAGGAACTTCTCATGTGGAAGCGAGGCGGCAGCCCTATTTTAGCGTTAATCTTGTTATCGATGGTTCGTTTTGATGCTTTGCGGGTAGCTTGCTGCAATTTCGATTACTTGCTACAATGTCAATGGTGTCATGGCGGTCATCGTGCGAGGTTGCCGCGAACTTTGCAAAGTGCGTCGTAGCGCACACTTCTAGGCGCCCCTCGAGATCACAGGAGATACCACTGTTGCGATTGAACGATTGCGAGAAAAGATAGCCATAAAACGCTGTTATGGCGTGCATGGGCGGCGCGAGTGGCAGCTTGCAGAAGATAGCTCCATCAACCACCGAAGATGAGTTAAGTGCAACAAAGAAGCTGTTTTCGAATAATGCACCCGTATGTGAATTGCAAAAGGCTAAGCGACCTAACTTTTTTTTTTGCATTGCTGCATTTTTGCTCTCCCGAAGAAGTTTTCATAAAATTTGTCCCGCATAATAAACGCACCCCCAACTTTGCTTCGATTTTTCTGAAAATAGAAAATGCATTCATTACGCAAGTAAATACGGTAGTCTCACAAATGCGTCTGTTTTCAGTGCAACAATCGTAAAATCCACTTTATTTTCTACAGGATGCTGTATATAAAGAGGCATTGACCGCACCAAGGAGATATTAGTTTTTTTTTTGCTTTATAGAGTGTAATTTTGCGTTTTTCATGTCTTAAAACATTGGACGTTTTAGGTGCACCTCATAGTCAAAATGGAGTCTTCGTCTTTAGGTGAGCGCGGGTCGCCCGCCAGTTATTCCGACGACTCACCGAAAGAGCTTGTGTCGAATTTCACTTGCAAATGGTTGTGTAAGCAGACGTAGCAAGTTCTATGCTCTGGTATTATGGGAACACGGCCATCATTCCAAAAGCGAGTCTAGCCAGACCACTTCGCCGAGCAGTACATGTGCAGTAGCTCTGCCCCCGTAGCTTTCCCTTTATTGCCACATAAAGTTGTCCCCGAGTATACTACTCATTTCTGAAGGAAATGGCAAACAGCAGACTCACAGCAGATAACAGAGGCAAAATGGCGTTGCTAGAGCACTGTAGACCTTGCCTAGCCTTGCCCAGCGGCGCCGCTGCCGATGCTCACGATGGCATTGGAGGCTTTCGACTTCAGCTGCCAATTGCCCCGAGACTACCGAATTTTTTTCTGCCAATTACTGGTATATGAAACAAGGGTCGACTCTTCATTGCATTCTGTTTTAATTATACCTATATTCTGCTTTTACGGTAGCATTTCCGCATATCCTGGCTGCAACCCAAACGAGCGGGCAAATCAACTAGTGTGAGAATTCGCTTTCCGTGTCTGTGGTCCGCCCCCTTACTTCAATGCTGCCTACAAGAACCTCGACCACAAAGACCCGCTTTTGTCATACCACGAACTCTCCTCACATCATAGGTCAAAACGTTAAAACGAACTTTTTCTTCTTCTTCACACAAAGCTCAACATAGCACAAGCAATCACTTACAGACAGTTGCAGACTCGTATATTCATCACACCAACGACACTAAGCAGGATCAATTCTGACTCCTCAACTGTATGCCCACACTGTGGCTACGAATATAACAATTTTGACCACATGCTTTGGCTGTGCCCTGCCAATGTGGGCACAGACTTTTCTGACCAGTCCTCCTGGGACTCTGCCCCGCCGCAGTGGTCTAGTGGCTAAAGTATTAGGCTGCTGACCCGCAGGTCGCAAGATCGAATCCCAGCTGCGGCGGCTGCATTTTCGATGGAGGCAAAAATGCCGCAGGCCCATGTGCTCAGATTTGAGTGCACGTTAAAGAACCCCAGGAGGTCGAAATTTCCGGAGTCCTTCACTACGGTCTCCCATAATCATATGGTGGTTTGGGGACTTTAAACTCACCATATCATTCAATTGCTATGGCAAACCTGAGGCCACATATTAGAGGATTTATATCAAGCAGGGTAGGTGATCAGAACAGGGTCTGTCGTAGGGGTGTGTGAATAATAGAAATTCCGAATAGTGCTTTCTATTCGATTCGATTTGCACTAAAATTTTACTATTTGAACTTTTCAAAGACAAATACTGGCAATGTCCAATTAGAAGTAACACCTTCAGATTTTTAATATGCTTCACCTTACCTCATTGTTGCATTGCAGCAAAGCTGCCTTTCAAGCTGCACTACTGTTGCATATGTATTGACTAAGAAAACACTGGTTCGAGCATGGAGGTTAAAGATGGGGCAAAGGCGGGGGTTTCAAGTAATGCTGTTTTGGAGCTGAAATTCGGGCAGGAAGTTAAAAGAAATCAGACATTGAAATTTTTCACCACCTATAATTTCAGATGTTCTTGTATGTTGTCTACGAGGCATATTTGGAAATCTCAACTCCAATGGAGCAGACCTTCGCCCGCCACATAAGTTGGGCTTCCACAGAAGTTGAAAGAGGAGGAGGGGCTGAGGTAATGGCATCTTTGCCCGTGACATGTAGCCAGCAACACTTTGGTTGCACCAAATCATTTACATAAATATTGCCTCGTTTTTGACAGGGCAGCTATGAAACACCACTCTGCTTCTGCATCATCCACCTAGCTAAAAGAAACACTTTTCATGTTGCTATATTATCAGAATATGCTTAGGCATTATCACTTCAATATGTATTCAAACTCACTTTGTGTCCAAAATTTTACTATTGTACAGCTCTAGTCTGCAGTAGCGAGCGACCTGGTGATTCCCTGCTGTGGAACAAAACACGTGAAGTTGCTTGTGCAGTAAGCCACAGTTGTGTTTACATGATGATACCCCTATCATTTAGCAAAGGTTAGGTTGTTCGAATTAGGCATAGCATCAATCAGTGTGCCAGGGAACATAATTGGTCATTAACCCTTTGCAGGTTTGCCTATATCATACCTGCCAAGTCTCCCGGATTTTTCGGGAGACTCTTGGATTCCGACCATTTTTTCCGTTTGTACAGTTGTCATCAAAATCTCCTGGAAATCTGATTTTGTGTGTAATCTGGCCGCATTGACTAAAATGGAGGTCAGTCCACTACAGGGTTTTTGCGACCCCACCGCATTTTATTATAAACGAATTTAAGAGGAATTCATCTAAACATACAGTAGTCTCAATGCTGCAAAACGGCAGCCGATACGAATTCATGAAATTCCTTAGCCAAATTCTACTGTGTCTATGGGCCCATAATTTGAATGTTCCGAACACTTTTCCAAATCGTGGCATGTGGTATGAAATTTAGTACCGAAACCAGCGAACGAAAGCCGATCGAGAGCAGGATGCTCTAAGCTTCAGAAGTATGCGTGTGACCAGCGCACGCATTGTCTTTTACAGTGTATGTGGTTGTTGACACAGTCGCTGTGGATGAAACCATGGTTGTTCTTGACACAGTCTTGTATGGCGACGACACTGGCAGTACCCCGAAAGTGTGTGTGCGTCCAATGCTTGACCAGTCAAAGCAACGCTGCTCTCGGCAAAGTGTGGACAAGACTGTGGCAGATGCGATCATAGAAAGCATAAAACGACTTCGTTTTGAAGGCACGTGCACAGCCACTGCACGCGGATTGAAAATGGATACAGTTTGCCACAACCGCCGCCGTGCACAAAACCACGGTCGCCGCGACGCAATAGTGATCTACGAGCTCTGAGG